AACTTCGCCAATCAAACGGAGCCTTGAAAATTAAGTTCTAAAAAAATTTCTCCAAACATGAACTTAGGGGTGTATTCAATTGAAAATTTTAAAGATTTCTATAGACTTTTGTAAGTGGATGACTTTTATGGATTTTATGGACTTTTAAGTGACTTATATGGATTTGTCAAGAATTAAAAAATTCTTCCACGGATTTTTGTAGATTTTATTTAAAGATTTTTCATCTATGAAAAATTACAATTTTTCTTACTACCTTAACATTTTTGAGAACCATGAGGTCACAATTTTCTTAGGTAAAGTCACTAGTAACAACCTAATCATTCAATTTTGACGCAAACAATGAAAAACTTTTACATTAATTTCCAAGAACAAAACCGAAATTTTTTCATGAAATTAACATTAATTCTAAGAACACAAATTGATCTTAACCAAAAAAAAGGAAAAAGAAAAAAAAAAAAAAGAATAAAAGTCTCAATTGACTGCGCCTAAAATTTAGAGTTTTTAAAAGTTTCAATTGAATACACCTAGCCCCCATTATTTCACATTTTAATAGGTATAATAGTATTTTTTTTTAAGAATGAGTGGTTAAAAAAGAAAGAAAAAAATTCGATTTATGTGTAATATTATTTTATGAAATATTATGTGGTTGAAAATAGGAAAAAAAAAATTTTATTTAATTTAATAGGGGAGCCTAAACTTTTTAAATCCTCAAAAGTCTTTAAAAATTCTAAATTACGACTCTTAATATTTCGAGTTGAGACATTCTTGGTTCAAACCCTAGTGACATTGGCACAACCCTGACGATATTTTGTTTTCTATTTTAGAAAAAATTGCAGCAGTCATCTCCCAAGTATTAAATTTGTGTAATGAGTATTCGAATTTATTTTACTTTTGAGTTCCAAACATTTTAAATGTACAACTCTTTGATGTCCACTGAACTTAATGTGGCCGTCGGGATTGAAATTTGCAACTTTTTCTCCTTTTCGATTTTTCTATTTTCCTTCATATTTCATGTATTTTTTTTTCCTTTTTTTTGTTTGAAATTAAGTGTTCACGCTTTTTACCCTTCATGTAAATCACATGCCTCTTCAATAGCAAAGTGGTGAAAACCATCCACCTAAGATCAAAGTTTTATAAATTTTCATTACTTGAGAACCTACTTGCTACCACACCCATACTGAGTTTTCACCCATACTGAGTTTTCATTTCACTATTTTTCTCTATCTCATACCAGCAGTAAGAGGAAAACTCACATATAATTCATATCAGCAGTAAGAGGAAAATCTCCCATGAGAGTCGGATTTTATAAAAGGTGATTTGTCCAGGCTGGGATCGAGTTGACACGACGCAACCCATTCTAGTTGATGAGTCTGTTGATCGAATCTTTTAAACAAAAAGAAGACGACCTTCTAAAATATACAAGACATTTTAAACACAACAAGGTCTCTTGGAAGACATAATCGTTATCAATATGCATCAATGAACCTCTTTTTTATGTAGATGTGGCCGATCATGGCTTCCAAGTCCATCAAAATCAATCCATTTATACTCTGTTTCCAGTGTATCAAATTTAAACAGGATCCTCATAAAGCAATTAGATTAACTGTAACAACGATAATTAACAAAGAGACTGGATCCTCCACAGAGATCTACTGGCTAACTTGATATTTGCATCAAGCTTGAATCTTTACCCTGTCCTCTTCGCTCGCACCTGCAATGCATCTTTTGCTTCATTATTTCATCCAGATCTACCTGTTGTTTCACAACTTGCATCCATGTATGCACATTCCTAACTGATAATGCTTACGTAGGTTTTAAGACCTATGCCTATTGCCTTCTATACTGCAACTAACTTCAAAAAGATCAAGATCATAAAATAGTTACCTGGTAATATGATCAGTCACCATTATGAAAATGCTCCTTGCTTACTCCCACTAACAGAGCTTTCTATGTTACCATTTACTTCACCAGTAATGCACACAGTATCGCAGCAAGAAAAGACTGTTAACGGAAGGGCAAAATAGGTTGCACCGAAGTATACCAGCAGTGTAGGAAAAAATCCCTTGGACGTTCATAGAGCTCAGAACCTTAGTTAACAGATATATCAGGGCGAAGCCTGTGTCCTGCCAGCAGCTCTTGATCGATTCTTTTTATTTTTCCAGAACTCATCTTTCTTTCCTTTTTTCTTCTCTTTCAACAAGCCCATGCTGCTTTTAATGATACCCATTAGAGCACTCTTATCCTTCCTG